CAGAATAGTTTAATTGCAGTCCTATAAGGCACTGTGTTAATGGGAAGTACTGTGTAAATGGAGAAATATTGCTTTCTGTAAATGTAATTTGTAGTCCATATTGAAATAATCGCATTTAACCAAATTTTCAGCTGGGAATTAGGATAGCTACCAGGAGGCTGAGGCAGGAGGATTCCTTTGCTTGAGCCCAAGAGTAGGAGGCTGCAGTGAACTGTGATTGCACCACTGTACTTAAGCCTGGGTGACAGCAAGACTCTTTCTCTTAAAAAAGATGTTTAATCTTAATATGCTATTTTTGTCAATACTTTTCTTTCAAGAAGTATTTCTTTTCCTGTCTCCCCTCCCCAATACATTAGATCTGGATCCCATAAACAGAGCTAAACAAAACAAAGAGTTTATGAAAAATCTTCACATTGGTTACTCAGTTCCAATAGCTAAGTTTTTAAAATTAGTATTTCTGTGTTGAAAGTAGACTTAAAATTTTAACCACTGGCTTTATATCACTGGTAAGCATTTGATGATCCTTTATAACATTTTTCCTTTGTACTTTTACAATTGTGAAATAAATAGGTCCTTTTAAAGCAGCCTGAAGGAGAGATTGTCAGTAAGTATTTCTTTAGATAAAAATACCTAGTGAATATTTAGATAATCAGATTTCCGGGGGGGTGGGGTGGGGCAGGGACAGTCTTGCCCTATCACCCTGGCCGGAGTGCAGTGCATTGGCCTTGTAGCTCACTGTAGCCTCAAACTTCTGGGCTTACGCCATCCTCCTGCCTCAGCCTCCCAAGGTAAGATGGGGGTCTTACTCTTGCCTAGACCGATCTCAAACTCTGAGCTCAAGCAGTCCTCTCACTTAAGCCTCCCAGAGTGCTAGGATTATAGGGTTTATGTTCAGGACTGGCCAAATTTACCTGAATTACATTGTAAAAGTGATCATTTTAGGTACAAAGAACTCAGGAGAGCAATATTTAAGTATGCTTAAATTGATCTAATTGAAACTGGAGAAGCAAAATGAAGAAAATGGGCACAGGTAAGGAGGAGGTAACATAAGCAACTTTTTTCTTTGATCATTTTATATGCCATCCTTTTTTTTTTTTTTTTTTTGCCCTGGCTAGTTCTTCTGGTGGAAACTAGCAAGCATTTCATATAATTTAGAATGCAAATACCAGTACAATTATAAGAATGGTTACAAAGGAAATGTAAATACAAATGCCATAAAAATGTATTTTTAAATTTCCTGGCTCCGGTGCCTGTGGCTCAAGTGGCAAAGGCGCCAGCCACCATATACCTAAGGTGGTGGGTTCAAATCCAGCCTGGGCCTGCCAAAACAATGATGGCTGCAACCAGAAAAATAGCTGGGCACTGTGGCAGGCACCTGTGGTCGCAGCTACTTGGGAGGCTGAGGCAGGAGACTTGCTTGAGCCCAGGAGTTGGGGGTTGCTGTGAGCTGTGATGCTACGGCACTGTACCCAGGGGGGATAGCTTGAAGCTTTTGTCTCAAAAATAAATAAATAAATAAACAAATTTCCTTCTTTGGTTGACTTTTTCTGACTATTTCTGAAACCACAAGTATCCCATACTTAAAGTCTAGCTTTTTTTTTTTTTTTGGGGGGGGGTGATATGTTCATAAGGCAAGTGGCAAGAGTTGGTCTAAAGATTCCTTTGAAAATTTTACCCTCTCGGCTCGGCGCCTGTGGCTCAAGCGGCTAAGGCACCAGCCACATACACCTAAGGTGGCGGGTTCGAATCCCCAGCCCGGGCCCACCAAACAACAATGATGGCTGCAACCAAAAAATGGCCGGGTGTCGTGGCGGGCACCTGTAGTCCCAGCTACTTGGGAGGCTGAGGCAGGAGACTCGCTTGAGCCCAGGAGTTGGAGGTTGCTGTGAGCGTGATGCCATGTCACTCTACCCAGGGGGATAGCTTGAGGCTCCGTCTAAAAAAAAAAAAAAAAATTTTTTTTTACCCTCTCCTAGCACTCTGGGAGTCGGAGGTGGATGGATTGCCTGAACTCATGAGTTGGAGACCAGCCTGAACCAGAGTGACATCTTGTCTCTAAAAATAGCTGGGTATTGTATTGCCTGTAGTTCCAGCTATTGGAGAGGCTGAGGCAAAAGAAACACTTGAGCCCAGGAGTTTTGCTGTTAGCTGAGATGCCACAGTGCTCTATCATGGATGACAAAGTGAGACTGTCTCAAAAAAAAAAAAAAAAAATTATCCTCAGTCAGATTGTAGAGTGTTGAGATAAATTTTCATTTGACAGTGAAAACTTTCTGAAAGAAAGTGTTAGCTTAATTTTTAGTCAGTATGTTTCTCTACAAGTTAATAATTAAATAGTAATTGAAAGGTGGACCTTGCCATTTTTTATTGCCTTTTAGGGTTTTGGTGCTGTGATTGGCTTCGCTAATTCCACTATTCAATCAGTTTTTCTGTGTTGAAACAATATTTTTTTTCTAGATGTTACCAGGTTTGAGTATTTACAATACTACTTTGTGTATCATTGCTGGACACTAGAATTTAGGATAAAATACTTAAATATGGAACTGTGGAAAAATAAAATTACATTATTTTCATTCAATTACATTTTATTCTAAGATTAGCATCAATTAATTTTTGATTCTTACAAAAGAAGTACAAAATAATTGCCTGGGGGGGGTTTGTTTTAAAATTTTACCTAATAAAGGAGTCTGGCTGTGTGTTTGTACCTGTAATCCCAGTACTCTGGGAGGCCCAAGTGGGGGGATTGCTTGAGTTCAGGAGTTTGAGACCAGCCTGAGCAAGAGTGAGACCCCTAGCTCTGAAAAATAGCCTGGCCTTTGGCAGGCACCTGTAGTCCTAGCTAGTTGGGAGGCTGAGGCAAGAGGATCACTTGAGCTCAAGAATTTGAGGCCCATGGCATTCTAGCTGGGGCAGGATAGTGAGACTCTTGTCTCTAACAAAAAGTAGTCTATTGTGAAATTCTGAGTAGTTTTGTTTTAAATATAAAATTACAGAAACATTTGGAAAGGAGGGACATTAGAAGATAAAAAAAGACAAATGTTACCAGTGCAATAGTAACATGTACTTCCTAGTTATTTTCCTAAATAAAATTTTTTTGGTTTGTTTGACACATAGTCTCTTTTGCTCCAGGATAGAGTTCCATGGCCCTAATATTTTTAATACACAGTTGTCCCTTGGTGTCTGTGGGGAATTGGTTCCAGGACCTCCCTTGGATATGAAAATACTTGGGCACTCAAGTACCTAATATAAAATTAGGCATAGTATTTTTACAATCTATACATACCCTCCTTTATACTTTAAATCATCTCTAGCTTAATATCCAATACAGTACAAATGGTGTGTAAACACTTGTTATGTTTAGCGAATAATGACTGTGAAAATCTGTACAGATGAAATTATTCTGAATATTTTCATCTAAAAAATTATTTTATTTGAGACAGAGTCTCATTCTGTGCCTTGAGAGGGTTCACTGCAAACAACCTCTTGGATTCAGGCAATCGCTTTGTCTCAACCTCAAGTTAGCTGGCACTTGCCACGAGGCCTGGCTAGTTTTTTTATTTTCTCATTTTTTTGAGGCTGATCTCCAACTCTGGAGCTCAAACAGTCCACCCACCTCTGCCTCCTAGAGTACTAGGATTACAGATGTGAGCCACTGCACCGGCCTTTCCTGAATATTTTCAATCCAAAGTTGGTTGAATCCATGGCCATATGGAGAATTGTACTGTCTAGAGATAAAAGTTATGTCTTGCACCCCCCCCAACCAATTTTTACAGATTACATTTCTTTTAACATAGCTGCTCTATATCTCAGTCATGAGGCAGGGCCTAGAGGCAGCATTAGGTGTTCAGGTTGCAGGAGGGATTTTTTTCTTTCACTGTTCTCTCACCCTCCATTGGTTTGGATTCATTCTGATTTTGTGATAAATAAATGATTTCATTTACTCAAAGCTTATACAGTCTCATAACCATGGAAACATATCCGTTAAGTTGTACAACTTATGCTGTACAATCAGGTATCTCCAGGACCTGGAGATACTAATTACCAGTTATTTCTAATAATGGATGCTCATTGACACTAACCGAGTAAATCCTATCATTGTATGTGAGTCACTATGAAAGTTTGAGACTGTATTATTGGTTCATTATTTCAATTCCAAGAAACCTAGTTGACAGCAACCTTTCTGATTGACCTGTGCAAGTTTTTTTTTTTTTTTTTTTTTTTGACCGGGGCTGGGTTTGAACCTGACACCTCCTGTATAGGGGGCCGGTGCCCTAGTCACTGAGCTAGAGGCACCACCCTGTATCTTTTTTTTTTTTTTTAGTTTTTTTTTTAAGAGACAGAATCTTTACCGCCCTCTGTAGGGTGCCTTGGCAGCGTCACAGCTCACAGCAACCTCTAACACCTGGGCTAAGGTGATTCTCTTGCTTCAGACTCCAGAGTAGCTGGGACTACAGGCGCTCGCCAGAACGCCTGGCTATTTTTTGGTTGTGGTTTGGCCAGGACTGGGTTTGAACCCGCCACCCTTGGTATATGGGGCTGGCACCCTACTCACTGAGCCACAGGCACTGCCCCGCCTGTGCTAGTTTTAACTTTTTCAGCTTATTGGTAGTGGTGGGAGGGTTTCATTTGTCCCTTCATGTAGATTATACATTTCTTGATTTTTGTGTATCTCAGAATTTTCATAATGACCCACACATTAGCATGTGTGTATTAATACATATATGCTTTATCTTACTGGTTTTAAAGATGAAAAACTGTAATGTATATAATATATGATATATTATACATTATATATGTATATATAATATGCATTATGTAATTTTTCACTTTCAATATACTTTATAATAGGTCTGTTATGCCTAAGTATATAATTGTGCAGTTGTAAAAAATAATATATTGGCCAGTTTTTTCCCTAGAATAATTTTCCAAAAATACTTTTAAAGGGGAATCAAAGAAGTAATTTTCAGTGGCTTAATGTTGTTATTTTTCATTTTTTAAAGATCTAACTGCAGCCATGAGCAGCAATGAGTGCTTCAAGTGTGGACGATCTGGCCATTGGGCCCGGGAATGCCCTACTGGTGGAGGCCGTGGCCGTGGAATGAGAAGCCGTGGCAGAGGTGGTTTTACCTCGGATAGAGGTATTTTGTCGAATAAAAAAATTTGAAGTATTTCAGTATTTGTTAGTGTCAGGTCTGGTCTAATTAGTCAAATTCTTTTTGTTTCTGCTCAAAATAGGTTTCCAGTTTGTTTCCTCATCTCTTCCAGACATCTGTTATCGCTGTGGTGAGTCTGGTCATCTTGCCAAGGATTGTGATCTCCAGGAGGATGGTAAGTATTTAATACTTCTTTTCACACCCCTTTAGAACTTGGAGAGGTGAGCATGTATGACTGCACGCAGCACTGGAAAAGATTTTCCACCGTTGAGGTTTTGTATTGTGTTTTGTAAAGGTTTTATAGTCTTGGTCTGGTTCTTTTCCTTATTGTTGAAGCCTGCTATAACTGCGGTAGAGGTGGCCACATTGCCAAGGACTGCAAGGAGCCTAAGAGAGAGCGAGAGCAATGCTGCTACAACTGCGGCAAGCCAGGCCATCTGGCTCGTGACTGCGACCACGCAGATGAGCAGAAGTGCTATTCTTGTGGAGAATTTGGACACATTCAAAAAGATTGCACCAAAGTGAAGTGCTATAGGT